TAATACACACGTAAATACACCATTATCTCTAAAATACATTTTCCTTTCTACTAACACACCTTCCCATAATCCATTGTTTGTGTAAATGCAGATGGCAAATAAAAAAATTCACTAACCAATAATAATCATGGACGTGCATTACACGATCTCACTAGAACAATTCAATGTATACTGTTTTCAGTAAGCCAAACAATTTACAACCAGAAGCAAAATAATTAGAAAAAGAGATAAAAATTACAATAATGCTAACCTTTAACGAGCACATGGAATTCTCACAACACATTATGAAAAACTTGGAATGTTGTTCTTCTCTCTACATCATCAAAAAACAGGATTTCATGACATTAAATCTATAAATAGCAATAAAAAATTGTCACACAACATATGTAAATATATGGATACAATGATTCTTCACTAAATTCTCATGACCCTGTCTAACCCCATCAATGGAATAATCCTGAAACAGGTATAGAGCACAGATCAGTCCATTCTGAACACACAGGGTTCTACGGGTGTTGTGTTGAATGAGAGTGGTTCGGTTTCAATGAGACAGTTTCACTGTATAATCATCACGCAATCTTCATCACAGGGAGAAATCATCTTTTACTCTGTGACGACTTTGGAAAGCGTAGACAGGGACAAAATCTGTGGAGCTTGAATATATTTTTCTCGGCTAGATGTGAGGAAAGGACGCAAACCCTCAAATAAAGAATATGATTACAATACCATGAACAAAAACTCCCCATACTGGGTAAATACAGAGGTTTCTTCACATCTTTGTAATTTAGTCTTGTTAATACCCAGTCAGAAATGTAACATATAAATATATATATAGTATTCAATGACGCAATGAGATTTGGTATACTGATTTACTGTACTTCAGCTTGTTTTACTGACACTCTCGCGATTGTTATTTCCATCATCATCTCTCCATTTATCCAGACTTCGACGTCTTGCATTCATAAAGAAATTTGCCACTGTGGTGACTTCGAGTCCAAGCTGTTGTGCAATAGTTGCCTGCATTTCTTTCGAGGGCCTCTTCGTTTCCTTAAATATTGCGTGTAATGTGCGTCTCTGAATATCAGTAAAAACTAAACGAGGTTTCTTGGGTGATCTGCTGTCCTGCATTGGGAGTTCTTGTTCTTTCCGCTTACAAGCTGAAATCAGATATATTGAGCAAATTTAACAGAAAGGTTGCAAAACGTAAACTTAAGTCATTGTGTATATTTTTCAAATCATTTCACTGATACTTCATCAAAACATGTCTCTGACCGTAAATGCATGCTGCAAAATTTACACTTGACAACTATCACAACACTTAAATTCATTCACATAAAAATAATTAGATCTATATCATGTACAATTCATGCAGTACATGATATAGGAGTCAGGAAAAAATTACGAATCAAGAACATGTAAAGAACTCAAAATACATTTTTATTATAAAGAAGACATAGTACATATTTTCTTCTTCTTTTTCATCAAGTTTTCTTCTACACTTAGCACCATGATCTAAAATATGCTTTGTTTAAATGTTCTTATATCATTTCAGATCCCTACCAGATTTCCCTTTTAAACCAAGAACTCCTCATTTAATTCAGTACCCAAATTTCCCATTATTAGGCTATGTATGGCAGACATAAAGACTTGGTTTTCCTCTGTAAAACAGCTGGATGTGCAGTATGCGTGGTAAAACCCCTGGCTTCTCAGGTTAATTATTTATATTTATACTTTTACCTTCATCAAATATTAAGGGCAATTTGGATAATAAGATAGTATACCAGTGGAAAGATCTGCTTTCCAAATGTGACGTGTATCTATTATCCTTCAGGATTAATCAAGTGTGAACTTGGGGATATCTACGTTCAACACTACAGCAAGGGAAAGTCTGAGCACCAATCATTATTACAGTAGATATACTGGTCTAAGATAAGTGCAATTTCTGTTTTTAGTCTAAAGAGTGTCATCTATAAACAGGATCATAACTTTGGCAGTCTAATATTTCTATGATACTACACTGGTAATTTGTCCTATGTTATCTCATATTCTACACTTTTCACTGCAGAAAATGCATGGAATCCCCATTTAGAATTCTTTATGAGCTTTATCATGTAACTGTACCAAGAAGTGGCCTAAAATAAACTGTTATTACAAGTTGGCCAAACTCTTCAGTATAACTGTTTGTGCATATTTGGTTGATAAGACCCAATTTTTTTCAATTAACTCTGAATTTCAAAATTTATGAGGGTACTATTAACTGCCAAAAGGCAAAATAAAAGTACTAAATTAAAGAATGTCCATTATAAAAATAATATATGTTTCTTGTAAACTTTTTTTCAATGTTGACTTAACCTATCTGTGCTATCTGATTTAGGAAGAAAACTAGTGAGAAAAGTGTGTATTTACACTAGGTATCTCCTCTGTCTGTGACAAAATAAGGCATGTCCACATTCCCTGACCCTCTAATCCCCTGCTGGCATCTTTATGAAAAATGAAAATGACAGAAGAACACAAGCTTAGTCTTGGTAGGTAGATTGTCCACAGTGTTGTAATGAGAAATCAGCTGCTAGGTTTATTTAGCAATCAGACAATATTCCTATTGCCAAGGGAAGTATCTCGGTACTCAGTAACACAAATATGGCAGGTAAATTTCACTAGGTAATTCACACCTTTCTCAGGACAATCACAAACAATGCCAGTGCACCTGTCCACCGAAGTCGACAAGTGACCCTAACACTACATATATCTATTATAGTTAATGGTGAGAAAATAATCTTGCATGGATTTGGAGATTTTAATTTGTTAGGGACGAGGAACATCAAAGACTTAACTCTTGATCTCGTCAGTCATCTATCTCACTGAAATCATCCTAAATTTCTCTTTCACTTTGATTTTAAGTCAAAAAGTAAGAGTTGGGATGACACTGAACTGTCTTTTATCAACATTTTTGCAAAATCTGTATTTTGGTCTAATTTTTGGGGTGAGAATGAGCAAGTCTTAGTTTTCATGGGGCCAGAAAAAAGGGCAATAAACATTTTAACACTAACTCAGTTAAGCCTTGCAGAATCAGAAATCCCTCAGTTCTCCTGCATACACAAAGCAGGCTGCATAGAACATCTGAGTTAATGAGGTGGAATTATATACACTGACAATGGCACTAATTTACCTGCCCAATCACAACAGCTAGGTTTAGCCTTCGCACCTATTCTCTACAGCTAAATACTCAACCTTAACGAGTTTATACTCTTAGGTTTAATGAAAACTCTCTCTTCCCTAATGAAAATTGTAGAGTAGGCAACAAAAAAATAACTAACAAAGGAGGGAAAGATGGATTAATAAAACAATCCACTGCTGCAGTTCAAGAGAAGTCATAGGCATGAAAACCTTTTTTGGCCCCTAATTTGAAAATAATTTGGGTCCAAAGAGAAAACTTTGATAATGCAATTAATTTCAATGTGTTTTATTCAAAGTGGACTTCATCTTTCATCAAGAGTTTAATGAAAAAAAAATCCTACAGAGCTCTGAGAGAGAGATTTTCTCCTGGTGATGCCACTGAAGTTTCATGTTGTTGAAGCCACCTTTATTCATTTGAATGCAACAGTATGATAGGAGATTTCATTAGAAGATTGTACACTATCTAACATGTGAACAGACTCAGGTAGATTATCATGACAAAACAGCGTTTCTGCTTATTCCAGGCCGTCCTGCAAGACTTAACAAAGGCCAATGTGAAAAAAGCACCTAGTTGCCTAGACAACCAATTAGCTGAAAACTATTCCAAGATTTGATATCTGTTCCGAGTGAATGAAGTGTTACATAGTAGATAGGCGTTCTCTTTCCATAAATCATACAGGAAGAATGTTGCAGAGAAATATCACTTGGCATCAAGAAGAAACGGACAGGAAACTAAACCATTTTATAAGACTGTTCATTATTTTTTGAATAAAAAAAATTATTCGGAAGACATTTAATTAATCTTAGTAAAAGTTACTATGAATTTTTCATCATAACATAATCTTTTATAGCTCTATGGAAAAGACTTATTTTTGACGACACATTGTAATTTTTTTTTTAAATTCTAAGACACATAATTATGAACAGTATAAAATAATTGACAGTGATGGAAAAGAAGGTGTTTTATTCTAAGGGAATCAAACAGCTGACAATGCAATCAGAATCCAGATTTCGACAGCCTCATGTTTATTGTTCCGCAACAAATTCTATTTACACTCCAGTATTTTTATGGATTTTATAGATTTGTTTTGAAATTTCTCGTGCAACAGAATACTTGAGTTCTAAAAATGGTCCTGGAGATCAATAAACTATTAAACTTGAATTTATCTAGCAAAGATAGTCCTAATAGTCGGCAGAAGCGCCTGGTTGGAATGCAAACACGGAGTTAAGGCCTAAGCCTGGATGGCATTGTGTGCTACAGTTGTGGGCCCATCACAAGAGACCTGGAGACTAGCAGCTGTCTTAGGCAATGACGTCAAAGCTGCTTTTGAAAGGCAATCAAGGAAGGGAGTACTTAACAGCATCCGTACATTCCTACAACATGCATAACCGAGAAGACTATACCAATTATACCAAATTTATATATACCCAACCTCTATTTTTTTGATCCATTTCGATATTTTAGCTTTTGTTTCTTAATTTGCAAAAACAAAGTATTTCAGAATCTTTTTATATACTGGGTAATTCATTTTAGCTACTCATTTCCTTATTTTTGATTGCGTACAATTCTAGTTTATATATTTATACCTGATTAGAAACCTTTAATAACTTAACAAGTGCAAGGTAAAACAGCTATCTTTTGTGTTCTCAATGGAAACTTTATCTGTTGAATAATTCTAATATAAATATTTGACAACCCTTTACTTGAAGCATTTGAAGATATCTTAACCAAAACGTCACTTTTGAGACAAGATTTGTAAATAAAAAAATTCTTCTAAACTTCCGTCATTTAAATGTTTTTCCCCCAACCTTATATTGTGTAAATGAATGTTTACATGTACCAGAGAACCATGTTCAATAACATATAATTTAAATCCAAACTATTCTGCTGTATATATAAAACATAAAAATGCTCCTTATGAAATTTATTTAAATACCATCTATATTTAACATGAGACACATCTAGGAACTTAAAACTAGGAACTTAAAAGCTTCACTTAAGACTATCACTCCAATTCTTTGCAACAGAAAGAAAGCTAAAGAGATTGACAGTGGGTAGCACTGAATAGGTAACCCTGACAGTATGTTTGATTCTTCTGTGACTTATAAGAGCCCTGTAACTAACTTAAGCATCTAACCGTCAGACCCCCCTAGCATAGGACTATCATTTAGAAGAACTACAGAGTCAGTCTCAAGTGTCTTCATTGTCAACAGCCAAACTGTCATTTTGAACAGTTCCCTGCAAGCCCCTAACTCTCCATGTGGATGTCAAGGAGGGAAATCACACACACGAACTCAAGAAAAGGCACAGTTGTCCATTGTGGAGGTAGTAGTCTTGTTTTCGTTGTTGTTTTACCAGGGAATGCTTGGTATTAAAGCATGGGGACTAAATTTGTCAGCTTTACTCTCCAACGTTATCTTACAAAAAGCAAACAGGGATCCCCCCCAGAAAAAAAAGAAACGAGCATTCATTTCCGTGTATTCAAATTCGGGACAAATATTTAGTATTTTATAAAGGAAACTTGACTACTTAGAAAAAGAAAATCATTTAGGTGAGAAAAAATTGTGTTAAATTCTGCTTAAGAAATAAAGTGTTTGTTTGATAACGATAAAGAAATAACTTGGGTAAATACACACACTTCTAAACCCATGGGCACAACACTAAAAGAAGTCTTTTTAAATCTTTTCTCCTGCTCTGAGTTTCATAGATCAAAAGAAGAAGTATTATGATTTTTAATATCATATAAAGAAATTCTCACCATTAAACATTTTTACAAGTGGTTCAATTGTCTAATACTCTTTTTTGATGACATCCATTTTTGAACTATGGATAATTATGGTGAACAATTTTTGAATTGTACTAGTAGAATATGGCAGGCTTGATCTCGTACCAAACTACAACCATGCGTAGAATACAAACCTGTCCAACTGAAACAAGTCAAGGTCAGTATCATCGTCTGTAAGGGGATATTCTGAAAGGTAAACACACCTCATAGCAAAAGAAATCAACAGTCTACTCAAAGACTAATGCAAACAAGGCTTCTCAAGATGTCAACATTCAATATTAACATTTTTACAAAATCTTTTTTTGAAAAAAATTTTCATTTTATTTTATGAGATTTCATACATGAATTATTTGAGCTTCAGATTGTTATAATGAAAAATACACATACAAGAATTGTTAAGAATTATCTGCACAACAAATGTTGACAATTTTGAAAAGTCTTTTGTATAAAGAAAGCAAAAAATAATAAAGTCACCAAAATCCAACATAAAAAATGCACTTGGCAGAATTTGTATATATAGCATGCATTTTGTTGGTTCAGAGACAAGTTTTTTTTGTTCTATAAGGTGAGAACAGGATAAACATAAATATGTAATAAAAACCACTGCCCATCATCGAAATCATCGGACCAAGCTTTTTCTATTGCATAGAGAAAATTATGAAAATAATGATGAAAGACATGCCTTTCCTGTGGAAAATTTCTAAAGTGAATAAGAATTTCATAGCTGCAAATAGGTGCACTAATATTTAAATGTTAATGTTAAAATTTAAAATAACTTAAACTGATTTTTTTTTTTTAAATTCATGATTAGAACATTACATTGAAATGCAAAAAGCCATCGAAATGCAGGCTATAGTATTATGTTTAATCCAGATCTTTGGTATTTACTTTTATCGAAGCATGCTTTTTATTGGGATCTTTAACAAAGACTTTCCAGAATATGTCAATCATCTTTACTTCAATAGAGTTGGTGTGACAACAAGATTATACGTAACAAAACAAAGTCACGAGGACCTCGATGGCGGAACAGCGAACACAGAACAACACGTTTTCCTACCTATTGTGTTTGGGTGACCAAAGCCTGAGGGTGGGGACCCATCTTCTTTTTTAATGTTGGCTTCATTGAATGATTTTCCTATGGAGAGAATAGTAAAAATTGGTATCTTTATGAACACATATTCCTTTTTTTCTTTTTAGATTTGTTACCAAAGTCCCAAATGTATTCAAGAAATGCAATGTTTTCCAATTTTCTTATCTCTTTCTCAATGGACTTGACACTAAAACATTTAATCAGGTCCATTCTGGTAGCACTGAAAAGATGCATGCTCATATATATTTTTTCAAATAAATAAATAAATAAATGAAATAATTTTAGAACACTCTGAAACTATCTGGTGCTCAAGATTCTGGTAGAGATTGAACGTGGGAGTTGTTGAGAGGTAGAGACACTCTGTTACAAAACAACAGACAGACACACAAAAAACTAGCTGGGTAACAAGGACATTAAATTAAGAGAATGGTCTGTTTTTATAACAAGAAAATGTTAACTTAGTAAAAAGTAAGTCACTGCAATAAGAATAAAAGAGCCATTCATTTCTTCATCTTTATCATTTATTCTTTTACTGAGCTATCTCATTAACTAACATGGCTAAAAAATAATTTACAAGTGAAGATGTCCATGAATTAATTAGAAGTCCATGTATAGCTATACCCACTATAATACCCCTTTAGGTATTATTCTTACAAAAGATTAAAAGACATCCTCTCTTTATATACCTTGATGTAGGGAAAAAAAAAATTCTGTACCAGGTCTAACACAAAGAAAGTTTTCATCTTTTTGATTTAATTCTGATGTTTTCAGAAACAAATTAAGATTCAAATCTTCTGGTTGGAAAAAGAAGAATAATTCTGTATCTATACCACACCATCTTCAAACATGGAACTCACAGAAGGAGTGTGAAAGCAGCTTAGTTGCTATGGTGACAAGATGCTGCCGTATAATGGAGAGCCTGGAAATGCCTCCTGCTGATCAAATAGCCAGCATATTTTCTTTGTTTAGAAAACACTCTTGATCAAATTTATTCAAATGAAGAAACTAAGTTGTTCATAATTCCTGGATCCTTTAAAATAAAGATTTCATTACATTTACTGAACTATCAAAATATATGAAAACAGATTTAAAAATTTCTGACCATCATGATCATTCAGCTATTAGATCCTATCAAACTCTTTCTACAGATGGTAATTTTTTTTTATTATTTAATTTATGACTCATACAAAGTCAACAAAAACAAACATACACACACGCAAAGAAAAGAAAAAAAAAATTACAACCTGGGAATAAAAACTCAACTGCAATAACCTTAGCAACACGTGGCTGATTGAAATCACAGTGCCTGCCTACTCAGGTATGAAATGACGGGATTTTTTCCCATTTTTTTTTTACCTGGTCATTAGAAGAGCTAGGCAAGACAGCAGTCTCTGAATCATGTGGCTCAGATAAAACTGCGATATTATGAAGCTATAGAGCCTTATCCTGTCATTTCTATCTGCCTTCCTTTGTCTGCAAGGTTTCAGAAAAACACTTGAAATGACTGCTAGTCACTCTCACTATTCCACCTGATGATTAAAGTCCAATGGTCTCAAACTCAGGAGAGACAGGAAAATAAAATTGATTAATTGAATTACAAAAATATAACTGCATTTGCCTTGAATGTGTGAAATCCTGTAAACTTAAAAATTTATATTTCTTTGACAAATAAATTCTGCAGGTAATAATCACTATAAATACATTTTGTTTCTCAATAGCCATAATTGAATTTTCATGTTTGTATTTGTTTAAGCAAGAAAAATTGCACCATATACCCTGTAACTCAAATAAAGCAATTTCATGACAACAGATGACCTGCATCTAAACACTGTAAATATGCTCTTAGTGCAAAAAGCCTCTGTTGAGAGCATCTTTTTTCCCTTCTATTTCTATCTATCCTGATGTTGAGCTCCCTAGAGATCTTCAAACAATTCCATACAGCCATTGGTATTGCATTAATAGGCAAAATTACCCTAAACACTGGTAACTGTCAATCATCCCAAATTCATCTTGGTTGTGTAGTTGTATAAAAGGTCGTAATTGGAAGTCAAGAAATGTGGCCCTTGGAGCTGGGAAGTATTGTAAATTTTATTCGATGCCTGCAGCGTGATGCTGCAGATTTACATCATTTTCACTTTGAGAGACATGCCCGTGACAACCAGTTTCAAGTGCAAGAACTCACCACAATAAAAAAACATTACTGATATCACTAAGGAGAAAATCGAGAATTTTGAAATCAGAAGCTTTAATCATGTTCCTTTATATCCGTAAGTTACAATTACTTTCGAAAAAATACTTAGCGGACAAAGATTCAAAAGCATAGCTACTGGTTAATACTGCAGCTCTTCCAACAAATATAACCCCCCGCATTGAACACATCTCTATGGAAGATTTATACAAATCCTAGTTGTTTTAAGTTGGGCCTGTCATCTTTATTCGAATCAAATATGAATATCTCATCATGCAAACTGAAAGCAAACAAAACTTGTGGATGCTAATTGCAAAGTATGAGACTGCTGATGCAAAACATGAGCAAACAACCCTGTTCAAACAGAGCGGGAATGAACAATGCGGCTACAGTTGGAGAAATTCCCAGCTTCTCGCAACAATTTGATGAAATAAAAGAGGAATGGCGGAAACCCTCTAATTTGTACGTTTACCAACACTTGTACAGCATCAAAACCAGTGTTTGCAGAAGCTGGTCTGGTACTCAATCCACTTCAAATGTAGGGGGAAAAATTTCAGATCTACATTTAAGGTTTTAATAGATATTTAGTCTGTGAAACATTAAAAATATCATCCCTTTCTTATCATTACTCCCCCCCCCCCTTTCATCTAAAAGGTAAACAAACCTTAATGAACAATTACACTGGTCAAAAGTACATTTACCAGAAATATTATCAAAATTAACTTTGTTTTTTTTTTTTACATCTATAGGTGTATTGAACCTTGGGTTAACAGAGAAAACATATTTATGTCCTTTTATCATAATTATTTTTGGGGCAGAATGTATCTAAGATGTGCTTAAATTATGCCTCTTTATATTTTCTTGAAATTCCCAATTGCCAACTATTCTCATATCGACAACACAACTCAAAATCCAATATCTACAGAAGCCTTAGAAAGAAGCTCAAGTATAATAGTCTCTCTTCTACATTGCAGCACAGCAAATAAGCTATAATTTGTTTTATTCACTATGCCAAAGCTAAAACAGGGAAACTCCATTTAGGACAGACTCAGTGGTCCTCAACCACTAGCTTTAAGTCCTACAGACTTGTTTGGATATATTGTGTGATTTCTTTGAATAACTGTATGCAGATTCCATGTCACCATATAGAAACTCTCACAGGACACTGGCAAAATGAAAAGATATGGCATTCTAACATGTCTAAGGCACAAGATTCTGCTCCACAGAGGAAATGATTCCATCCTGGAGCACTGCACTGATTAAACTCTCTAATATCACTGAAGTATAATAAACTTAAATTACTTCAGTTTTCTCATCATGTTAATATACATCATGAGTTAAATCTATCTACATTAGCAATCCACACTGTAACAATAATGACAAATTCTCTGTATAATATACTACAGTTCTTCTGTATAAAACCAAAGCCCTCTAAAGAGAAAGCAACTCTTCTGGTTTCCACTTAAACAACTGGTGCATGGTCTACTCAATATCTGAATTAGATTTTTTAAAAAGTTTGTTTTAGTTAACATCACAATAATCTTCAATAAAAATTATCTTTTTTACTCTTATCATCTTTATTGAAATCAGATAAATTTATCTACACAGAGTAGGATTTTGAAATAACTTAGAGTATTGCCATACATGATCAAAAATTAAAAACATCAATAGTTACACATCAAAATTAATACAGTATTGATAAATAGATTTGTGTGTTTTGATTTAATTTACTTCTGTGCCAATTTTTAGTCAAAAGAAATAAAAACAGTTGAAGTAAAATTTTGAGAAAATTATTTTCAGACACCTTACTAATGCATTTATAAGCTTCAACCGATAGAGCAAAGCATGGATCAAGAACTGATATTTTTCTATGTATTACTTAAAAAAAAAAAAAGCAGGGAAAGAAATTATAGTTTGTTCTTCATTCTCCCTAGAGTATGTGTTTAATTACACACACTACAAAAGTAGGGTATTTTGGGTTTGGTGTACTGAAATACGAATACCACGAGGAGGAGACAAAATAAGCTGATTCTGTGACAAACAGTACCAGCTGGCAAACACAATGTAGTGTGCTGAATAATTAAAGGCCATCACAACCCCTCAGCTCACAAAAGCATCAAATTTACAGCATGATAAGCACTGCAATACAATAGTCTCTTAACTATAACCCAACTTAAAAAAAAAAAAGGTTCCTGTATGTACATAAGCACATTCGTCATTACCAGTTTTATCAAATATGAAATAAATTATGAAACATCTTAAAAAAAAACTTCTGATAGTATCTCCCTATCTCTCTCACTACATAAAATATTAAAGCCTTAAGTCCAACAAACATAAACCTCTAGATATTTCATGTGCAATAAATAAAACAAAATTGCCTGCACTGACTTTAAATCAAATAACATGTCTGCACTAGTGTAGTACTGTGCACTGTATACTCTTCCCTTTTTTAAAGCAAATGTTTTTTCTTCCTATCCTAATTCTGAAAATGTATAGTCAAGGGACACACTCTGAAATGTTAATCACACTGTATGACCCTGACAGACTTCAATGGAAGATTTAGATAGCATGATTGAAAACTAAAACTATTCAGCAGATACAAAAGTGAAGGCAAAGACTTCTCTTTATAAAGGCCCTCCTCTGCAAGGTCAGATTTTATATGGCAAGATTATGTTTAGTCTCACTGTGTATGTTATCACTAGAGATAGAGAGAGAAACTTATTATTAAGAAATTTTAATAAAATATGAAATAAAATTCCAAAAACTTTGTCCTTCTAAAATGTATTATTTCTGCAAAATCTCCAACAGTATCCCACCTGATTAAAACATTCTTATTTGACAAGATTCAAACTGAGAAACAAAAATATTAAATGAAATGCTACAGAAATTCTAAGCTCATATTGTTGTCTCCAAGCGAAATTCTCCCACTTCATGACCAACAAAATACAAGAGGGATGGAATTCCCGCGATAAAATCATCTCCTTTACTGTTGCTTAGTTCCAGCATGAAGTCACATAAAAGGACACATTCTGCACAGCAGAAATGAAAACTAATAAACAAAATTTCTTAACCAAAAGAGAAAATTAATTGTGTTCTATTGCTAAGATATCAGCTTTACATACTATTTTCAACAAATCTTTCTTCTTTTGTCATGTATTGTCTATTTTTATCTAAAATAAATCTTCTCTTTTTATTTATTATTTTTAAAAATTCACCAGCAACATGCTTATAATTGCTTTACAAGTGGTATTCTAATTTTAGCATCACAGTCTATCCTGCACTGCTGCTACTGCTAATTTGGTAGGTATAATTCTGTTTATATATGTGAAGTGATTTCTGATTATCTAGTCTATGATGTTAACATGCAGTTTTTCTCTTTTGTATATATCATGCCAGTTGTGGTTAGTAAAGGGGAAATAATCCATGCCAGACCCAAGGGAGAGCAATCAGGGTAGCTTTCTGAAAATTAGTAAAAGCTTGTGTTTGGAGTATAGTTTCTTTCTGCATAATATAAGTTGTTTTATGTCTTAAAAAGGATTCAGTTTGAATATAATACATTAGTAGTTTAACAGCCCAAGATGTCATGGCTATTAGTAGATACAATCCCATTCCTAGGAAGTGAAAATAAAATACCTGGATATAAACCCACCAATCGCTACCCTCGATAAAAGACACTGGTGGAGTGGAAATCTTGTTCAAAGATTTCAAACTGAAAAAGACAGCAATAAGATGAGGATGTATGCAGAAAGTAACAAAAGCTGTTTATCTTATTAATTAACTTCAGAAGTTGTTCTTGCATCTCTCTCAGCTTACATTAGACTAAGCAAAAGTTTCCTTATAATATTGGTTCAGCAATTTCATGTGTTATTTTGTGTAACATACTGGAAGTTATGTTGATGCCATTTGTAGCTTTTTTCCCCCAACATTCTGCCATGCACTTGTAACAGGTGTGCTATTATGCAGTAGGTGGCAGATGGTCGCCAGAATATGCTGCCCCAAAATATTCATGTACATAATACACTACTGTCACATTCTTTGAAATCCTCCACTTTAAGATACTTTCTTTGTTGTTTTAATAAAATATGGCAAAAATGGATATAACAATATTTAACCAAAACAACTTGAAATATTTTCATTGCTTTACCTAGCTGCTCTAGTTACAATAACCACAGGTAGGTGTGTAGATAATTACATTGCAAGAACACCTGACTCTTGGAGTTATTAGAACTGCCACTACATAGTGTAATTGGGTCCAAATGTGACAACACCAGGCAGATGGGGCATTTCTAATAATGCTTCACAGATCTAGCAAATGTATTATCCTGGTTTTACTATTATTCCCTAGGGGCACAATGCAGGGGAAATTAAATCATTGAAGTCAATGAGAGAAAATGTTCTTTCCATGAAGTCTCTTTTTAGCTACCTCATCGTAACATGATTAGTAGTTAATAAATATTCAATTTTTAATTGGTTTCAATTTAGTTCATTTCAAATGTCAGTCTTTTCTATTACAGAAATTAATTGCTTGGACTGATCTAAATAATTCATAATGCCCCAAGGCGGGCCCCTTGTGGCTTTGACAGTAGTCACACTTACTATCCACATGTCTTTGTTTACCTAAAGCCAAATGTCAACAATGCTGAACTTTCCTTTGTTTCCAGCTAACATGTGTACAACAACATCATCTAACAGTACCAAGTGTTGCAGGGGATGAAATGTTAAAAGAAATATTTTTTGTCAAGAGTCTGCATAATAAATTCTTCCACTATGGCAGGAAACATATTTTTTTCATAATGCACAAGTGCAAATGAAATAAAAGATAAAACTTCTATTTAATTGACAGATTAAATAAAATTCCAACTTGGAAGCATCCTGTCCGTGCGGGAGAACTGAATAGCAGAAAGATTACCATTCCAGCGGTTCTGAGAAACCTTAGTCTCCATCAAACAAAGATTGTATTGGCCCACCATATGGCTCTCTACACCTGACAAGTCCACCCAGACTCAAATAAACCCCCATGTTTGTTTCTTTATCTCTACCATGATTGTAAAGAATTTTCTGATTGTAACCATCAGGTTATTATTTTAGACACTGTCTTTAGTTTTTTTTTCTCTCTCTCTCTCATTTTAAATTTTGTCTGTATCATTTGTACATGATGTATGGTTGATAAAATCCACACTGTATATCTGCAACTGTTAAAGAAAGCTGTACCTGTATCTAGATTTATAATCTGTATAAATATAAGTGATTTCTAATGAATATAAAAACCCATTACAGTAAAAATGAAAATTGAAGATTATATCAGTATCTAAACCAATGCATGACTGCTTCCACAACTTAGGCAGGATACAAAACAGAAACAAATTCATGAAAACACCTTTGCATTATGAGTAGATGAAGGACTTTGATGTTGAATACTTCAGAGCATTTGTACTTGTGATAACTGGTGCTATGACCAAACAAAGGACATTTAATAAAATTTTCACATCCGTTTAAGAACATACAATAAAGACATCTTAAATGTTCATACTAAAATGCCAAAAAAGTTGATGTATGAGATAGGGTGCTGTAATGAACAGATTCTAAGAATCTAATTTCTGAAAAAAAATGATCTATATCTGAATGGTGAGGAAAAGCACATGTGCCCTAAGGTAAAGGAAGATGCAAAGATCACTGAAAAGAAAAAAAAAATAGCTGATAAATTGATTATATGTTATGTACTGTCACTTTTCCCCCCTACTACAAATCCTGCTATTGATGTG